ATTGCTGATGTCAGATGGATCTTGGCTGAAAGCAGAAAATACCAGACAGATGTTTACCTGTGCTTTATTGACTATGCAAAGGCTTTCAACTGTGTGGATCATAGCAAGCTATAGACAACACTGTGAAGTATGAGTATTCCTGAACACTTAATTGTGCTCATGAGGAATCTGTACATGGATCAAGATGCAGATGTTCGAACAGAGTATGGGAACACCGAATAGTTTAAAATTAAGAAAGGTGTGTGACAGGGTTGTATTCTTTCACCATACTTATTCAACCTGTATGCTGAGCAAATAATCCGAGAAGCTGGGTTATATGAAGAAAAACATGACATCAGGATTGGAGGAAGACTCATTAACAACCCGTGATATGCAGATGATACAGCCTTGCTTGCTGAAAATGAAGAGGACTTAAAATATTTACTAATGAAGATCCAAGTACCACTGGACCAATAAACAACATTCTTATCAACTGAGAAAAGACTGAAGTTGTCAAGGACTTCATTCTTCTTGAATCAACCATCAACATTCATGGAAGCAGCAGTCAAGAAATCAAATGATGTATTATTGCATTAGGCAAATCTGATGCACAAGATTTTTCTTTTGTCAAAAATTTATTGAGCATTAATTCAACAAAGATATAAGAAAGACTTTAAGCTGATATTTGTGAATGGTGAGATATTGGGAAGTTGGTACAAAAACTAATGCTGATCAAAAATAACCCTCAGGAAATAGTAGATTTACACAGACAATAATGCCTCCATTTTCCTGAGCTGCTTTTTATGAGTTTCAATTTCCAGGAAACAGGTAGAAGTATTTTGTCATGGTTACTCTTTCAATGGAGGGCATCTAGGTCCATTCATTTGGGGTTTCAAATGAATGTTGAACCTTTCTAAAAACTTTCTCCAAATGGCAATAACAAGAATACTTTTTAAAGCAGCTGACAACTCAGGAAATGAAGAGAGAGCCATTTGTTTCAAGCCTCCAAGAAACATTATGTGGAGTTGATGCTTTGAAAGCAATGAAGTCCTTTGCCACATGGGTGTTTGTTATTGCATCACTCACTCTGCATGGGAGTACAAGACCTTTAAAGTGTTGAAGAGCAAAGATATCTGTTGAGGACTAAGGT